TACGCCAAAATTCCCTAGGGGCACTCGGGTCAACAGGAAGTCAAGGCCACGCGGTCAATTGCCCCACGATCCGTCGCCGTTATAAATAGATACGAGCAGTCGGTATCTACGCATCTATTTGCACGCATGCTGCAAAATCAGAATCGGAGTTATCCTGGCCCGAGTGTAGACGGTTTTTGCTTTCCCTGAATTTTTTCACCAACATGCCTCAGAAACCTTTCATTGATAAAATGGCATGTAATGAACGTATCGATCGTTGAATCTCCTAACTGTTCATTTCTATTAATACCAGTTTAATGAAAAGGATGAGTTTCTCTCAGATATTCCTCTGGAAATGCTCGTTACCATTCTGGATATGTAAAAAGTGAAAAGTTAAGTTAAACAATCTGTATGAATTAAGAATTATTTTGTAAGTATGAATTAAGAAGGTAAAATCTCAATTCTTTAAAGTATGAATTAAGAAGGTAAAATCTCAATTCTTTAAAAGAATTTAAAAAGTTTTGAATTTTTAATCTCATCACATTTCTCAAACTTTGATGCTAATGAAATAGCTTATAATTAATTTATTCATTTGTTCTTAAAACATATTTCCATATATCCACTGCATGATTTGCACTCGCATTTGAAGAATGAGTTCTTTTGGAAAAAAGGCATTATAACTATCCAACATTCAGAACATCATGTTCCATTGGTACATTCAACGTCATCATAACAAAATATCAAATATCACAATACAAGAGAGATCATACAGAAGGAAATAGTTCCTATGAAACAAGAAGAGTACTTATTGATCCGGTAGGTGGTGAATGTAGCAAGCATAGCTTATAAATGCCATTCGTTACGAAAACTACACATAACCAATACCAATTTACTCTCTGACGTGGAATCATTATGCAGGCTGATTCTTTGCGAAGAGGATCATCAAATAATTTAATGAAATAAATCAAAGATACGGGCTATTTTATATTCTTCCATGCCAAAAGACGCAAGGATCGATATCACGATGAATTATTCGGTATTTTCCGATTTAGCCAAAATCCTTTTTAATTCTTAAACGTGATATGTAGCTAAATTAGTCGAATACATTAATACTGAACAGCCTCTAATTTTTTAATCTTTTAAAATTATATTGGTCTGTATTTCCTATGTTATGAGTTTTCCTTTTGTTTTCATTTCGTTTTTAATAAATATTTAAATTCTTCAAACTGCATTAGACTTCAATACGATTTGATAAAAGATACAGCTTCGCGGATAAATTTCAGGGAGAATAACCCTGTACCACCCTATACCGGCAGAATATATAATCTCGAGGTCATTGCCCGAGCGATCTTTGGGGGTTCCACCATGCCTGGAATGAGGGTGAGGTAACTGGGAATACTGGGTAGATATCGACCACTTTCCCCTAAAAGTTAAAACGAAAGGATGCAATTAAACATCTTTTCATGCTTTACTCACTAACGTACATAAAAAAAACCTAAAATGTATTTGAAAATAATAAAAGACAAATTGTAAATTTTTCTAGACAGTTAATATTGGCATTAAATATAAGGATATGCTATATAAAAGAAAAAAATGTAACAAATGAATGTTATACGTACAATTTTTTCATACAGTTATATTTTATTGTATCTTACTAGTTTGAGATAAAACTTCTTTTTATCAGTTTTTAAGACCTCATAATCCATCTATTAAAATACTATGTACAATATTATATTGAAAATTTACTAAAAAACTATGACTAATTTAAGTATTAGTAATTTCCAGAAATTGTGGAAGTCGAACTTGTTATCTAGAAAAATCGCAAGTTCCATCACAAGATTAATCGATGCAGTGATGTTTGTTAGTTTCTCTTGTCTCTTCGGCAACCGTGAGAAGACGAAACGCAAGAGCGAGGATTCGATCTTTTTCGACGTATGAGACTGTCAAAGGAAGAGGAAGAAGAACAGGAAAAGGAGGAGGAAGATTGAAGAAGTGTCTTATGGGTAGGAGGGAGAGATAGGATAAGGGTTGTTCGATGGGTGGCCGTGCCTTTTGGGGCAGTGGCCCTTGCTGTGATGCCTCCGAGGGTGAGAAGGGGCAGACGAGGACCTACGCGTTATTGAGCGGGCATTTCCCACAAAGCGCAGACGAGGGCAACCACCCCGTAGCGCTGCGGCGCGCAGAGTTCTCTACTCAGTCTTCCTTCTCTCCCTCTCACATTCTCTCTTTCTATCCCCCTTTTTTCCTGTTTCTTCGTTCGCTCGATCTCTATCCGATCTCTGCATCTCTCCCTACCTTATATCCATTTTTATCTTTTTCTGTCGCCTTCTTTTACTGCTTCCCTCTTTCTCACAGTCTCTTTTCATCCTTTCTCTATATTCCTATCTACTTTGGTATGTACAAATACAATTTGGTATGTGCACATATAATATATGTAGGTACATACGTATATTATTTATATGTATTATTGTCTATACACGTACATATACACCTATATATATATACAGTATGTATGCGTATGCCTATATACATATGTCTTTTATTCTTGTCCCATTAACGTAGACACCCTTCGTTCCTGCAAATTTTTTGGTGCCAATAGGCATTTCAAGTTTAGTAAACGCATTAAATTTATGGAATGTAATGCTCGTGAGCTCGGTTAAGAAAGAATTAAAAAATATATATCTGTCTTTTTCTTTTTTTTTTTTTTGGATATGGAAAATAATTATGAATATGATACAAAATACGTGAACTTGTATTCAAATATATAGAATTAAAGAAATTTTTTTCCTTTAAAAATAGTCTGGCTGTTGTTTTTTGCTTGTTTTATATAATTAATTATTATTTTTTAAAAAGTAATTTTTAAGTTTGCACGAAATTCTAACGGAAAGAAATATCGTTTTTTGTTCCATTTCTTTTATTTCCAAGTCTTGATTTCTGTTTTCATTGTTTCTGGCTTATTCTTTTGTGCCTTTACTTACATCCCTTTCTGTGCGCATGTTTTCTATTTACGCTCTGTCTGCATAAAGCCTTTCGCTTTTATTTCATTTAATAACTTTTCTATAATCATTTAATACTTTATTCCGATTTATGTACACTTTAAACGTACTGATTTATATTTTATGAAAAAATTTTTACTTTATATTGATATTTTAAAAATGAATAAAATTAATTTCGTTATATGTTTATTTGTTAATATTTCAACTTTTCTGCTGCATTCTGTGAAAAAAATCTGTTTACAAAAAATTTTGATTTTGTTTTTCTCAAACTTCAAGTCGACTAAAATCGACGAGTACTAACCCCCGTGAAAACATAAAGGAAAGAGAAATGGATGTATCGATCTCACCCCTAGGGACTTGGTGGGATTAGGACATCACGCTAGCCACCCACGACGAGTCATGAAGCACTATACAGTGACGGAAGAAGAAACTTGTAGCCGTTAGCAACGTGTTGCCGTGAACTTGAGAATCATACTTTCACATATCTTTTTTGATACACAATTAAATTTGCATCGTTAGAAATTTGTTATTATCAATAAGTCTGCTAGTAAACTATCGTACTTTATTGAAAGATATTACAAGTAAATGTACATATTTTTAATATAAAATTTATCTATTAATTTTAACATGTTCGAAAAACATAATCTTATTTAAATAATTATAAAATAAAAAATAATAAATCCGTTTAGGATTTATGTAAAGGATGTTATTATTAAAATAGAAATTATCGGTATCTGTGCATCATAATATGTTGTACTTTCATATGAAAAACTATTTTAAATAACATATAGGATTTTTATATATTTTAAAACAGTATTAACGTTCAAATAGAAAAAAACAAACGTACCAATCATCCAATGACGCAACATACCACCCTCAACCTGCACCCTCTGCGTCACACCCATCCTGTTTCCGCATACCACGTGTCCTCAACCTATATCTGTCTCCTAGGTCGTTGATCTACAAAAGTCTTATTGTACATTAAATATAAGTCTAAAATATTTATTACAATTTATAAATAACTAATCTTTAACTAGTTCGAAACATTATTATAGAAATGATGTGGCACTCTATTTACATAAGTTAACTTTATCGAATAACAATTGTAATTTTGTAAAATATTTATGCTTGCTGTCATAAAATGTTTGAATATTGTATAATAATATATTTAGTTAAGATCAGTAGGATTGTACTATTTTATGTCAGGATTTGTCAAATTTTTTATTTTTTATTTAATATATCAGTCACTTGTAACAATACTGTACTTACGTATGTATGTGCTTTGCAGAAACACATGATACAAAGATGGAAGAAAGTATACCAAAATTACAGCAAAATGAATTAAATGATAAAAGGCCACAATTTGGTAACAGAATTCTCTCCAACTATGATAATGTATTTCAACATAACGCATGGTACTTATACATTACTGTTTAATTATGATACTAGTTTTCAAATTCTAACCTATAAAATGTGATTTTTAATATGAAATTGTTTTTATACAATTTTGACATCAAGGAAGAAAAGAATTAGTCTATTATACATTTAAATATACTTATTATCAATTATACATTATCATATATATTTATACATATAGATTATACATATACATTTTATAATTATTATTTAAAGGGATAATGTTGTATGGGATGAGGAACAACAAAAATTAGCTCAAATAAAAGTAAATGAAAATTCAGCCATAATTTTATCCAATGAAAAAATTCAAGAGTATGAGAAAGCAGCTGATAAATATTGGGATAAATTTTATGGAATACATGATAATAAGTACATATATACGTCAGTCAATCTTGCAGTTTCTTAACATTGCATACAAGAAAAAGAATTTTGCTTTTAATGTTGCAGATTTTTCAAGGACAGACATTGGTTATTTACAGAATTTCCTGAGTTGGCTCCGAATATAGTAAAGCAAAATATTAAACAGCCTCTGAGATCTACATTTGAGAATGATCGAGATACTCACATAAAAATTCTTGATGTACCCAGTAAAAAAGAAACTAAAATTCTGGAAATTGGTTGTGGAGTAGGAAATACAGTATTTCCAATACTTTTGTATAACACTGATCCTAACTTATTTGTATATGGTTGTGATTTTTCTACTAAAGCAATAGATATATTAAAGCAGAATACTGCTTATAACACATCCAGGTATAATCTTATTACATTTTAATATAATATAATCATAAAAATTATTTATGTCTTTTTTGAAGATGTAAAGCTTTTGTTCTTGATGTGACACAAGAGAAATGGGAAACACCTTTTGAGCCAGAAAGTTTGGATATTATAATATTAATATTTGTTCTTTCAGCGATACATCCTGAAAAGTAAGTATTTAATTGAAAGTATTTATTTATAGAATTAGAAACACAAATTACATTTCATTAGAAATGTAATCACATTTTATTCTTCCAGAATGAAGTATGTCATACAACAAGTTTATAAATACTTAAAATCAGGTGGATTAATTTTATTCCGAGATTATGGAAGATATGATTTAGCTCAGTTAAGATTTAAGAAAGGCAGTTGCCTTGCAGAAAATTTTTATGCTCGAGGAGATGGAACTAGAGTGTATTTCTTTACACAAGGTATTATTTTATTTAATAATTTAAAAAAAAATAAAAAGATAAATAAAATATTTATTTATAGAGGAAATTAGGATCCTGTTTACAAGTTGTGGTTTCACAGAAGAGCAAAATCTTGTAGATAGAAGGTTACAAGTTAATAGAGGGAAACAACTTAAAATGTACAGAATATGGATTCAAGGAAAATATAGAAAATAAATAAAAAATTCTATTTCTTTTTTCCTTCGACAAAAACATTTATATTTACAGAACAATTAAAGATAATTTTACATATAGAAATAAATACTTATATAGAAATATTTCAACTTTTTAAATATTTTTTAAATACTTTTTATTAAAATGTTGATTATACTTACATGAGTAATTTATAATTATTAAGTGTAAAAACTAAATGAAATCTTTATTTAAAAATGTTTATATAATGTATTTATGTAAAGGAGATATAATGAAATTATAATTCAAAAAATTAAAAATATATATTGGCAACACTGCTGTATTATTAGGATGTAAACATGGCGGTGACTGTCGTCGTTCTGATTTGAAGAGAAACAAGTCATTTTTGTATTTTAGCACTAAACTTTTCACTTTAAACTGACAAAAAGAATAGAACAACATGGGAAATGCTGATACAAAATTAAATTTTCGAAAAGCAGTTGTACAATTAACATCGAAGACGCAGGTAACAACTGTTTATTATTTCATTCAGCAGCATATGATAAGTTTGACATCTCGATGCATTGAAATATACAAATGTGTAATCTTTTTTTCCATTTACATCGTTTTCCACTTAAATTAATAACTTTTTTTTCTATAAAATTAACTGGAAGGATATTTGACATCGAGATTATGGTTCTACTTAGGTTAAAAAAATAAATTTTGTTGTACTTCAATTATAGGTGATTGATGCTTCAGATGACAATTTCTGGGACCAATTTTGGTCTGAAAACGTGACTAATGTACAAGATATTTTTACTTTAATCCCTGCACCTGAAATTCGTATATTAAGAGAAGAAGCTCCTTCTAATTTGGCTACATTGTGTTATAAAGCAGTGGAAAAATTAGTGAAAGCAGTTGATAATAGTTGTAGAACACAAAGAGAACAACAAACTGTTTTAAATTGTTGTCGATTATTAACAAGATTATTACCATATATTTTTGAGGATCCTGATTGGAAGGGATTCTTTTGGTCTAGTTTACCTGGTAAAGAAGATGAAGAAAGTATACCATTGGCTCATTCGTTACTCAATGCACTTTGTGTAAGATACATGATTTAAAGAATAGTAAAAAATATTATATCATGATAATTTTTATTATTTATTTTTATTTTAGGATTTGCTGTTTTGCCCTGACTTTACTGTAGCTGCAAACAGAAAATCTGGCCCTGTAAGCATTTTCTTACATTTTAAAAATTATAGAAATCATGAAGTATTATTAAAATGCGCGTTTGAAATTATTTAGGATAAAGCAGAAGAGTTGCAATCTATAGACAGTTGTGAATATATCTGGGAAGCTGGTGTAGGATTTGCACATTCACCTCCTAGATATCCAATTTTAGATTCAAATAGAACAGAATTACTAAAGTTGTTACTCACTTGCTTCAGTGAAACCATGTATAATCCTCCTTTAGACTTGTCAGTTACTCCAAACAGATGGATTCAGCATTTAACTAGTTCTGAAAATAGGTAAGTGGAGATTTGTTGTATGCACCAATACATAAAAATAAAATGGTAAAAAATTTTTAATGTTTAACACAGACACGCTTTACCTATGTTTACATCATTATTGAATACAGTATGTGCATATGATCCTGTTGGACTTGGAGTGCCATACAATCATTTACTATTTACTGATTCATTAGAACCATTAGTTGATGTTGCATTACAAATTCTCATAGTAACACTAGATCACGATACGAGTGGTGGTACTCCATTAGAAGAAGGAAGTATTGGAGATAATTTATTTATTAATTATTTAAGTCGAATTCATAGAGATGAAGGTAAATTTTGCTCTTATGTTTACTTTAATATAATTTAAATAAATAATTGACTAAATAATTTCTAATTTTATTTCTAGATTTTCAATTTGTATTGAAAGGTATCACGAGATTATTAAATAACCCGTTAATGCAAACATACTTACCAAATTCAACTAAAAAAGTACATTTCCATCAAGAATTATTGGTATTTTTTTGGAAAATGTGTGACTATAATAAAAAATTTTTATATTATGTATTAAAAAGTTCGGATGTTCTCGAAGTATTAGTACCTATACTGTATCATTTGAATGATTCACGTGCAGATCAATGTAAATCTTTACAATTCTGAAAATGTATTAAATTTAACGAATATTTTTATTACATCTAATCTAATATAATCTTACAGCTCGTGTCGGACTAATGCATATTGGTGTGTTTATTTTACTATTATTGAGTGGAGAACGTAACTTCGGTGTTAGATTAAATAAACCATATACGGCTACTGTACCGATGGATATTCCTGTTTTTACAGGTACTATTAACACAATTTATTTAAAAAATAGTATTTAACTTTTAAACATACTTCTAGGTACACATGCAGATTTATTGGTCACTGTTTTTCACAAGATAATCACAACCGGACACCAAAGATTACAGCCATTATTTGATTGTTTATTAACAATTCTAGTCAATGTATCTCCATATCTTAAAACTTTATCAATGGTGGCTAGTACTAAACTATTACATTTACTCGAAGCATTTAGCACTCCATGGTTCTTATTTTCAGCGCCTACCAATCACCATTTAGTATTTTTTCTTTTAGAAATTTTTAACAATATTATTCAGGTAATTTTTCGTATATCAAAGAAATAATTTTTAAAATCTGGAAAAGAAGGAAAATTTAACAAAATGTATGTATTATTAGTATCAATTTGATGGAAACAGTAATTTGGTTTATACTATAATACGTAAAAGGCAAGTGTTCCACGCGCTAGCAAATTTACCAAGCGATTGTAACACAATTGCGAAGTCTCTCAGTAAAAGACAACGTCGACATGTACCTGCTAGTACATCTAATGAAAATGTTAATGAAGCAGCAATGGAAGGTTCGCATCCAGCCCAACCTGCTGAACCTGGAACTTTAAAGGCAACTTTATTAGAAACGCCAGGTACATTTCTTTATTTTATTCAAATATTATTTGAAAATCGAATTTATGTATTAATTTTATCAAGGTATTGAAAAAATGACTGAAAAAGAGTCTGCGCATCCATTAAGTCCTTCAATAAATATTGACATAGAAAAATCTAATCACCAAAATAATGTGAATGCTACAGAGGATTTAATGAATTCAACTTCTAAGAGCTCTGTTATTCCAGTAAGATTAGAGAATGATGTAAATAATTGGCGAATTTTTTAAATATAAATTATTTATATGTTTTCTTATTGATTAAATAGAAAGGAGGTATTAGAGTGGCAGAACACATGAATTCTTCTAACAATATAAATCAGTGGGTTCCTTCTAGTGAATGGGTATATCAATGGAAAAGTAAACTTCCGCTGCAAACTATTATGCGATTGCTTCAAGTTCTTGTACCTCAAGTTGAAAAAATATGCATTGATAAGTCAGTATAATTTACTGCTCTATTTGATCTATGTTATTGCAGTAATATATATTTTTAATATTTTAGGGGTCTTACTGATGAAAGCGAAATTTTAAAATTTTTGCAACATGGTACATTAGTTGGCTTATTACCAGTACCACACCCTATCCTTATTAGAAGATATCAAGCAAATGCAGGAACAACAGCTTGGTTTAGAACATATATGTGGGGCGTTATATATTTAAGAAATGTCGAACCACCAATTTGGTATGATACTGATGTAAAGTTATTTGAAATCCAAAGAGTTTAAATGCAATGTGTATTATTAAGTGAATTATTATTAGCTTTAGCAGTGAAATTTCTATACTATTCTTACATGAGATATCATTTCTTAATATAAAAAAAAGAAATCTCAGTGATCTATACTTATCGTAAGTTGCACCAAACGATAAAGAACTTTACTACTTTATTAAGTAATGAATGGCATTTTTACAAGTATAGTCTTTCTTACAATTCTATTACACAGAGCTACAGAACTGATTTTACAAATATTTATTATGAGAAACTATGATAGTATACTATAATTCTCAACTTTCACTAAAAAATGTGTAAATACTTGCGACTGTGTAAGTGCCTTCACAGATGTAAATGATAAATCACTAAATCAATTGATATCTATTTAATTAATTCCTTAGTAGTTCCTTATTTTTCTTAAACTATTTTTCTTTCACCAATTTGAGTTTTTTTAAATAAGTAAATACTATTCTATTATTTATTTCTCATTGTAAAACATAATATAATATATTTACTAAGAGTAAATGAATTTTAACTCATGTAAAATTCTGGTTTTGTATGTCTGTGTAGTACTAAATTTTTGAAAGACAACTTGATAATTCACGCTTTGTAATGCATAATATATCATTTGAAATTACGAATACTCTGAATACATTTTTGTTTTGTGATGGTACAAACTCAAGTATGTCATATTTTATTCACGTAAAAAAGAACAAATGAATTTTTTTATGCATTGTAAATGCATTAGTAATTTTAATTTTTTGGATTTATAAAATTTTCTAGTTTCTTTCTATTTATATTTCACTCGTATCTTAAACAAATTATCTACAATTTCAAATTACTAAAATTCTTTAATTTTATGATATGAAGTGTATTTATTTATTAAAATTTTAGAAATAATAGAATTCTAATAATTAAACATTTTATATATTTACGTTAAAAGAGTAAAAAATTAATATGATTTTATTTAGTGAATAATTTTATTTAATATATAATATGTATATACGTAATTGTATCTTTTATTTCAACTCGAAATATTTAAGTTATTTTATTAATACTATATTAAATACTTTCATGAAAATACTTTTTTTTAATTATGTATAAGATAGGCAAAAAGACTGTATAAAGATAATGACATTGTTTAAAATTCGAAAGTTTTTATGCTACTTGTATTTCTATATATATACATTATTTATGTATATATACATTATTTATATATTGGTGCAATTACATTGTTTTAAGACTAAAATACGTTTCTTTTAATATGTAATAAATTAAAACGATACTTAATCATGTTATACATACAAAATAAACATCTACACTTAATATGTGACAAACATAAAAATGTAGTATAGTTTAGAAATTTGTAATAAGTTTGGAATACCAAATTGAAAAGTAATAAAATGAAAGAAATTGAATACTTTCTTTGGTTCAAGCTACATCTTGATATGCAAAATATTAAGCTTAAAATCATTGTTAGTTATAAGTATTAATTATAATATTCTATATACATTATATAACTTTGTTTCACATACAAAAGAAAATTACTGTGTAAACAATTTCGATATTGAAAAAAGAAAAATTATATAAAATTATATACATACATATATTAAGTAAGCATCATAGCTAGAAGTTTGGAGCATAAAAAAATTATGCTCACTTATCTACATTATGTACACATATGTAATATTAAATATTATAAAACATGTATTATATTTAACCTATATTTTTATTAATTATTATACAGTAGAATATGTTTGTGGTATATTTTAATTTATATTAAAAGATTTCAGATTTATGTTTTCGATAGATTATGAAAGAAGTGGACAGTGTATGCATCAAGTATAACTCTATGCTTATTTCCTATAAATTAACTTAAGTTTCGATTTTATTTTATTGCAGAATCATTTCATTTTGTAAATAACTTATATTAATTTCATATGAATTACGATTATATCGCAATACATTATTTTCTTATGTTGATCATAAAAAAAAATTTTTTTTAGAAGTGAAGGAACATCAACTTTTTCTATAGCAAATCATTTTGTATATTTGATTTCGGCTTAAAAAAAACTGTACGCATTTTTTCAAATATAAAACAGGAAAATATATGTTTGCAGTTAATTTAATTAAAGTATCGAACATTAACTATTGTTAGTGCGCGTACTTTTTGACTGTGTATAATGCCCACAATAGTATTTTTCCTTTAAGCTGCAAATGTTACCACGAGCGACATTGATCATTACATCACTATTTGTATCACAGATGTAAAGTTTTCCTAGCCTAGAAAAGTTATTAATACTTCCATGAACTTTTTCTCATTTTTTTGTTTGCTCAAATCAAAAGCTCGGTAATGAAGTATTTGTAGTTAGTGATGCACTTTTTAATGGTGCGTATTGTGTACCAATGTTTTATGTTTAGAAAATGTAATATATGAAAAAATAGTTATAGAATTTTATACAGCTTATAATAGGTTACTAATATTAATTTAACGCATAATTTTGTCATAAGATGGAGGTGGAGCTTCCTCTGATGGATTATTTGATGGAATCAAAATAGCAATATGATAGGGTGGTGGTGGATTCTGTCTTACTACAGAAATAGGTCTAATATTTTCATTGGGCATTGAAGTTGTAGCAGTTACAGACGCAATGTGCTCCTCTTGAATTTGATGTTCTTGATGATTATTGCGTTGATTCCGACAATATAAAATAGAATATAAACATGCAAATAATGATAATGTTAACAGACCCCAAAATACGAATATTTCTATACCTTGGCCCTATTGAAAAAAAATATCCAATATTAATTATAAAGAAATTGAATTGAAAAGAAAGTATTAATTTTATAAAAAAAAAACATCAGTTTCAGCTTACTCTATCACTAAAGTAAAATTTTGCAGCAGCGACAAATCCTGTTGCAAGTACAAACGTTATCCAAACGCCGCATCGTAATCTATAACTTGCAAGTTCTGCATCATTAAATTCCGAAAAATCCAAAAGACTTCTGTTCGTTCCATTCGATGTAGTATTAGACAATATCAATTGATTATTCCCAGCAGTTGTTACATTACTGCAAACACACAAAAAGCCTTGATATTTCGACTACTACTATTTGTAGTAATTTCTTAAACTTATATCGTTCGTAACAATGTATAATTAAGGGCGAATCATTTATAAATACTTTCTGGTGATAGACATGTATAAGTGAGTCACCCTGTATATAAGAAGAACATGTTCCTCAGAATCTTCTTAGTAGACCTTTTTCTTAATTACTTGGAGATGTTGTTTAGTTGGGGGTGTTGAGTAGAACCAGCTGGAAAATTGCTTTGAGTTTCATTGTTCGTTCTTATCGTTGTTCTTATCATTCTGCAACTATTACTAGGACCAGCTGTATTTCCCATAGTATTTAAATTTTGAAATCGATGAAGCGGAGTAATCATCTGTCTTGGCTCTCCGATGTATCTACAATGACCTGAAATAATAAACATAAACATTTATTTAACGAAACGAACTATTTTGCTATTTTCTAAATTAAAACATTTTTACAAACATTTTCAGAGACTGCAAAAAGTAAATGAACGTATGAAATAGAAAAAGAAAAAGCTCGAAAATATTTTGAATCTCCTTACTTATACGACTTTTTGGCCTAGGTGTGGCAGGGTATTGGCGGCCAGTGAAACCGTAATACCTGCCCGCCGGTTTATTAATCCAGAAATGCATGCTCCGTTCAAACAGTTCTAGATATCCATTGTTACTTATGAAATCTCTTGAATGACGAGCAATTGCATGAACTTGTGTTTTTCTCTATTTTATTTTATTTGTAAATGTCTTCGCAACAAAGACTTACAAACGTCTTCAGTTCAAGTTCCATTATCCGTGCATTTCAGATCGATGCGTCGCATCAAAATAATTCCGTTGTTCATTATTTGTCAGAAAAATGCTTAAAACGCAATTTCGAAAAAAATGTACATTCCTATTTCGTTTAATCCAAAATTTCAGTCATGAGCATTGAGAGAAAAATTCAATATCCGAACTACAATCCTCTGTAGAATAACGCACGTCAATACACGACTAAACTACAGCTAGATTTTTGTCATTGTTAATTTAAAATCAGACATACCAACGACTGACGGAAAAATATACAACCGATTTGTTGAAAGAGTGAGATGCAACTAAGAAAAATTAGTTTCTCAAGGGATTTAAATTTGAAATAAAAAATTATTTTCGTCGGATAATAATCTTATTGAATCGTGATAACACTTTTATTCTAGTAATATACTAGAATTATATGCTTTTATTCTAGTTCACTTTCACAATTTTCTTTATGTATAAAAACAAAAATTGATTTTTAAGAATTATTCTCATATTTATGTAATTATTCTAGTAAATCAGAAATATCTAAATACCCATGTGTGTAACAACATGCGGTTAAACAAATAACATTCAAGTATATAACTTCGCAAGACAAAAAATAAACTGTCTTCCGCAAATAGATTATATTTCTTGTATATGTTTATGAATCTTTTCGTTTCGTTATTATCTTTGAATTTTTTGTAATATTATACATTATTAAATAAATTTGAAAAAAAACATTTGGAAAATAAGTTCTTTCATTTTCAATGTATTGTTTTATTTCAATGAACCGAGAAACATGTTACATATTTATTTATTTTTCTTCCTTCAATTAGAAATTTTAAATAACAAACTTTTTGATTAAACAAAAATTCATATTCGTAGTTAACTTGCGAGTGATTAAACACAACTTCAATATGTTTTAGTGCCAAATAACATTTAAATTATATTTATATTTAAGGATATGTTTGTTTAAATCAAAAACATTGTTATATTTAGTGAAAATGAAATGTTTACATTTGTAAATAATACTGATTAATTTACAGAAGTGTGCTCATATAAATATTAAAACCTAACCTATTACTTCATTTATAATTTCAGTAAATAATGTGTTGATACATTTATTGAATAATGTTCGTATTTAAGATCAAACAATATGTGCCTCGATTCAATGTATATTTCTTAAAACGAACTTTTTTTCACTCTACTATTTGGAATGCCAGTAATAAATTAGATTTTACAGTAAAAGATCAAAGTGAATTGAACGACGAGTCAGACTTGTGTGAAAAGAAAAAATTAGTGAAAGTCGCGATTTTGGGTCTACCCAATGCTGGAAAAAGTACATTAGTGAATAAACTCATACACAGATCTGTATGTGCATATACGTTGGAACAATTTATTTAATTTTTTTTATATTTTATTTATATAATATACAATATTTTTTTTATTAAAAATTAACAATATTTTTATTTATCTATTTAAGAACTTTAATTAAAAGTAAATATTTCCAATACATAGGTATGTCCAACATCTTCAAAAGTCCATACAACGATGCACAAAGCTGAAGCAATATATACAAAAAATGATACTCAAATTGTATTTATGGATACCCCCGGATTAGTAGTGCCTAAAGAAATAAAATCCTATAAACTATCAGAAGCATTCAAAAACGATCCCAAAGATGCAGTCACTGAAGCAGATGTTATTGGAATAGTACAGGATGTAACTAATGTATATACTAGACATAAGATTGATGATTATGTTCTTGACTACATAAAAAATAAGAGAGAAGATACAGAGCTATTAATAATTTTGAATAAAGTAGACAGGTTGAAAAAGAAGACAGCATTGTTGGAGATTACAAGAATATTAACAAACAAGGAGGATTATCCAAAATTTGATGATGTTTTTATGGTATCTGCACTTAATGGAGATGGAGTAGATGATTTAAGGGTAATATGTACTGAATATTATATTAAAAACTAATTTTCAATAGTTTTATATATATTTATATTAAATATATGTTGTAGAATTATTTGCTCGATTCAGCCAAAGTAAGTAATTGGAAATATGACAAGAAATTTTATAGTAATCAATCAATTGAAACTATAATGGAAGAAACTGTTAGAGCTAAATTAATGGACATGCTTCCATATGAAATGCCATATAAAATAAAAATAATAACAGATCATTTTGATTTTGGTGATGATGGTAGTATTAATGCTTTTGTAACATTAAATTGCCCTAGAGAAAACTACATAAAAATTTTATTGAAGGGTAAAGTTAAGTGCTTAGCATTTTACGTGCAAAAAGAATTACGTCATGCATTTAGAACTACTGTAATTGTTCGTATAAATGTACAATGTATAAAGTCTGTATTAAATCAATAAGATTATGAATTTATGAATGGTATTTGTTTTTTCTATATATTATAATTTAATATAATTTATTTGATACATTTAAAATATATAATTATGTATAAATACATAAAATATATTATTAATACAAATATTTAGAATAAACAAATATAATATTTGATTTCACAAAATTTTCTAGTATTTTGTAAAAAATATTGAAAAATATTATTAAATAAATTTTATCATTTATAGTTACCATTAATGTTAAAATACGGAAAAGTGAGATCTGTTTCCTTTAGATTTTCTTCGATCCATTTATTGGCTTTGGCATTAAGCTCTTCTGTGAACATATCTTTCCATCCACCACTTCCACCCTTTCTAATAAATATTCCTGCTTTTATCAGACCACATTCTTTTAATTCTGATGAATTTACCATTGGATTATCACGAAAATTTTTTATATTTAAATACTCTGCTAATTTTTTCATTTGTTCTTCAGTATACGTTTTTCCAAGAAATTTAGTAATCTTTTCAATTGCTTTCAGAAAATCCTAAAAATATATGAATAAGTGAAATTTTAGAAAACGTTCAATCTTCTTCAAATATTATATTTTGACTTACATGATTCATTTCTTCATAAAACATGAATAAAAAGTTTGGATTATTTCTGTTTGCCCATGCTTCTTTCAAATGTTCCCAATATGGACTCCAGTGTGCTAAAAAAAATTATAAATCATAATTTATGTACTATAAGATGTTTCAATCTTGTGTTTCTTAATTTATATGTGTGTATTTTAAACTTAATACTTACTGAGATTATTTTGAAAGAGATTCCAAAATGTTGGAAAATCACCTATGTAATCCTGTGTTTTAATTGCCACATTAAGGTGATACCAAGAAATTGCAACATTTTTTGGATTTCTTGCAATATACACTATCTTCAATGAAGTAATATGATTTTTGGTAAAATTATAAAACAGAGAATGATACAACTTATTTTTTAAATTATAAGTTTACCTTACAACCACTATCCAAAATATTAGGTAACAAAGAAAATGGAAAATGTGATTTTATGAACCTCTTGGAAGGCATTTTTGCCAAGACCTCATATCCTGGCTCAGCAAGCATTTTACAGAATTCTACCTTAGCTTTATCACCCTCATTCATTTTTATCATTTCATGTGTTACTTCTGGATGATGGAACATACTAAATCTACAAGTAATATCTATAGCTGCATTAATAGATTAACAATAATATACATATTTATACGATAAAATATTTTTATGTTCGATTTTGGATTTTAATTATGTGATTTTAAGTATTAACTATTGTCGCGAGAATGACGTTGTAATTTTGACTTTTTATTAAAGACTTTATTTCATTATTTCACTAAAGAATCTTGGATAAATTTTCACGTTCTATTTCTTTCTTTAATTGTGTAATTACATGTTACTTGTATGCAATGTTATAATTATAAGGTATTGCACATCAGTAGCAAACATACTATATAATTTTTCACGGATAAGCCATTCATATAATTGGTCGCATGAAAAGTGCTTGAAACATTATGTAAGTGTTAGTATCGTTACACATGGAGACTATTGGCTATGAAAACTTGTGACAAACTTTTACAGTCGATATATCGTCGATCAAGATTTGTTTTTAAATTAATCATACTAACTCCAGAAATGGAAATCTTTTTGCCAAAGGTTCTGTTTTTGCTCTGTTAAAATCTAAGTCATTTGATAGCAACCAGACTAATTCTTGAGTCCAAGTCGTTCCTAAAACAAATAAAAGAAAAAAATCTCAAAAAATGCTTAAAATCTCAAGTACAGCATTCAATATTCAATAATAAGTAATAATAACAAATACTTTATTATACTCTTTGTAATAATATCCAATAATGGCAGTACTTAATTATATTCTGTTTAACTAATATTTGAATTCAAAAAAATTACGATAATCGAAAATAATCGAATTACATTAATTCGATAGTATTACGCGGGCAAGCATTTAAATCTTTCATTTTTATACTTTTGTTTAGAATTATCTGATTGAAAGGGAAGATAAAAAAAATTGAATAATAATAACATTAGTGAAAAAGATTGAAAATATGTTATGTACCTGATCGAGGATAAGATAGCACCCATGTATCATCTGGCCTTGCCTTAAAATTATAAAATCCTTTACCCTCTGTCGTATATTTAAACGGGAAAACCCATTTCTTGGGACCCACCAGAACAAAACCTGATCTTTCACCCTTAAATAATTTCATCATTTTTTTGGTGTCTTCTTCGTTCAAATATTCATACTTCGGTGGTTCAAGGGCCATATTTTCGTACTTTTCTCTGTGTAAATTGCGATTATAAAAATTGCTTAATATTTTTAATAATAGATTTTCATGTATTTATAGGAAACTTGAAAAAGAAAAAGTGCAGAGAATATAAAAAAAATATGTAAAAATAATAAAATATTTAAAGCGTATAAATCATTTTTGTAATATTTGATACATTGACACAAATGCTATTATGTTATCATTTTGTTAAGAGGATGAAAATAAAATTACGTGCATATGTCCAACAAATAAATGTAATTGTATTGATACAGAAATGTATCTTCATCAAATGAAATGTCATAGAATGTCAAAGAATTAACTTAGTAAAATAATTTTTATCTTTATCTTTATGAACTTATGAATCTATATATAAATATTCGTAGTTTAGTAATTCTTTGCAATTAATTATTTTGCATTTTGTGCCCTGTCGATTTATCGATTAAAATTATTATTAAAGATTGAATTTAAGTTTAACGAAGGAAAAGATATTAATATAAATTTAACAGATCAAATTTATATTAATATACGTCTCTACAAATTTTGTTGCGTTGGAAACAATTTAGAAATAATAATCTTTGAAATGTATGTAAGTCTCTTACATTTTTCAAAGTTCTTTTTATTCACAGTCAGGATCCAGGATCAGAATTTCTTGTCGTCATCACGGTATATACCTCGTCGGTATCGGCACGAAGAAATTTAATAAAGAAATCTAGCAAAGACTGTTTTTTTTTTCATGCTGACGAGAAACTAACAGTGCTAATACTTCTCTGTTAATGTTGTCAAAGAGAGAGGTTGGGATAGCTCAGTCGGTAGAGCATCAGACTCTTAATCTGAGGGTCCA